TACTTTGAACTCTGATTCACTGAATTTCAAAGACCCATTCTCCTATCATAACTTCACCTCTTCTCATTTTCTTATAGTGACTAACATTATTTACTTAATCACATAAAATAAATATGCATTAAAGACTCTAAAAAGAAATACTTTTCCATTCCCTAGGGTTAAGCTCCACTTTTCCATTCCCTTGGTGGCCCAAGGGGATGGGTAACCAAATAAGATATATTTAAAATTCATTATTTCTGGAATTCTTCTACCCAGTCTGTTTACAGATATTTTTTTTTCATTTCAGTCTTGACACAGAGACAAGTGTGTACCAACTGTCTACTTTTTATATTTGGGTGAGTACCTGGAAGTGGTATGTGGCAGAAGACAAGAAGTAGAGAACACAAACACATTGTTAACTTCAAAACTAACTTACTCCTCTCCTCCATTTTACCCCAAGTAAAAAGACTTCTGGTTCACTCTGTTCTCCTTTCTAAATTACTTTAAAACAAACAAAAACATGCTCAGTATCTCCATTCACCTCTCAATTCATCTACCTTGTGACAGATATCATACCTACCTCTTTTTTCAATTATTTCTCAAACATTTCCAACTTCCCACTTTGTTTGTTAATTGTATTGTCTGCGACGTCTTCAAACTACATGGCACCAAAGCACATATGAGCATTTTTAGTCTTTACCAATGAATAACGTTTGTATGAGCCTCCTCAGCCCCAAAGTAAAGAATCTGTTCTCAACCCAGAGTCCTTTGACTATGGCCTTAGTGCTTGGGCTTTGATCATTCAGTGGCACTGCTGTTTGGCTTGGGCTTTCTGCACAACTCTACTTTTCCATTTGTATGAATTATCTCACAAATATAAATATAGCTTACAAATATCAGAACACAGCCTTATGACTCCTTTTACTTCCTGATCAATGGGCCAGACACTGCAGTTTAAATTCTTGATACTGAGAGCCTAGAATCTTAAAAAAAAAAAATAGCATCATTCCACCTCTTGTCCTCTTATGCTGTATCGCTATATAATGCAGAAATGTCCACAAAAAGAGTTCTAGGTCAAAGTAGAATCAGCTCTGGAGCCTACTAAAGCTAAAAGCAAAAGTATCTTGATGTAGCTATGGTTATTATTATTATTAATGATTATTTCAGTGTTGAGTAGAAGGAACTGTAGTTTCTCCAATTTTGTGAACAGAAAGCATAATGTGTGCCTAGACTGTCTCCTGTAGAGCTGGCAAACACTTCCAATTGTCCCCAATGTGCTAGCCACATGTTTGTTTTCAGCTGGCTGAGTCTTAAGAAAGAGTTTGGAGAAAGTGGAAGAGAGAGAAAACCAACCCAATTTCATGAAGAAGTACTACAAAGGGTAATGTGTTTTTGCCCTCCTAAAGCAGTATGTGTGTGTTTAAAAGAAAATAAGTGGTCCACACATTACTATTCTAGTTAGTTATTTTGTTCTCAT